TGACCTCGAACCAAGCTTATGGTCAATAAATGTTAAAGTTGCTGAAAATAATACGAAAGTGTCAGATGTGGATGCAAAACCCAGTCATTCAAAGTCCCCTTCACCTGGCGTGACTCTCATTAGTGATAATAACGGTAAGGTTAAAAGAAAATTTAAAACAGTTGATAACAACCAAATTGTAAACATTAATAAAAATCACATATTTAACAAGAAATATGTCAGCCGCGCTATTCACAATACCGTAAATCCACAAAAAAATTTAGGTATACAAAATTTAGAAGAAATTGATAGTGAAATTAAGAGAGATGAGTGGTTGACTCAGAATCGTCGTAAACGTAGACGTCAATATTTAGTTGGTGGAAATGAGATGGAAAAGTCGGTGGAGTCTGTTCCAAAATTTGTGACTCTGCATTTTACAGGTCTTAAACTGTAAACAACCCATGACGATTTACATAAAATGTTAGCTGTATCTTTTTTTGAAGTCCAATGTATGGTACACAAATCGAAAAAGCCTGAAGCATATATAGTTTCATGAAGGTCAAAATTTATCAAGAAAACCTAAAGAGAGTTAGAAACAAACATGTTTGGCCAAAGTGTGCAGTGGTATCTAAGTTTTTTGTGAAGAGGAGGATGCCAATGTAACTGTATCCTTTTTAAAAAGTATTGTTAAATTTAAAAATTATTTAAATGTCATCCACTATAATGCTCAATCATTACGTAACCCTTTTCTAGATTTTGAAGTTCTGGTTAATGATATTTCAGCTGATTGTTTGTGTCTTAATGAGCACTGGCTTTTACGTGATGGGCTACATACTGTCAATATTAAAGGCTTTCGTATGGTTTTTGGATTTTGCAGGACGGTCAAGTCTCATGGAGGTGTAGGTATGTATATATACTAGGAATAACGTAAGTTTTAATCATTTGAATCTTGAAAATATCTCTTCTGTATAGCGTTGTGGGATTACAGGTATTTTATTAAATAAATCTAATGTGCAGTTACAATATTACAAAAAAACTTAAATTTAATACTTAAGGTAATAGATGTCTTGATAATATTTTTGCAAATATTGATGGTACCACAAAACCTATGGATCTCACATATCTGACCACATCAGAATCATTGAGATATGGTTTCAAATCTTCAATATGCCAGTTCCCAGCATTTCTTTATTTAGTTACTTTCAGATAGCTTACTCGTCCACAAATTGTGCAACCAGAGTTTGTTATAGACCTATCAGAGATGAAGGACTCTTCAATCTGAACCAGATTTTAATAAATTGCAACTTAAATTTTATGTAAAATAATAATTTGGATACTAATTTAAAATTTAAAATACTAATTGATTTGATATTAAATTCTATAAATATCTCTTTTCCAGAAAATTCGCAATTGCTGGATACAAATGATCCAGGTAAAAAAGTAAACTGGTTCAATGACACTTTGAGAAAAATGCGTGAGAGACGTCAATTTATTATAGCAATAAATAGAAACGATCCCATTGCTTCACCTAGAAGTACCATTATCAAACTTAGAAAAGAGTACAAGGAAGCCATCAAGCTTGCAAAACTTAATGCAAATAATAGGTTTATAAAAAATGCTGGCAATTCTCAACAAGCAAGCTCAAGAACTTCTGAGAGAGTAAGTAATAAATAAACTTGAGATTCCTCAGCTAACTCTTGATAACTATTTAAAGTGTATACCACAGGAAAATATATCGTGTTTTAGTTTTTAGCCAGTGAACTTTAGTGAAGTTGACTTAGCTATTACAGGAATAAAAAATAATAACAGCAAAGAACCTGATGGGTTTAACACAAAAATTATTAAAACAATTAAAAATATAATTGTTCAACATCTAACAACTTTAATAAATCTATCAATATCTTGTAATACTTATCCTCAAGTTTTCAGAACTGCAAAGGTAGTACCTCTGTTTAATAAAAAATGCTCTACTGATGATTATAACAATTATATCGGCCAAATTCTTTGTTGCCCATCTTATCAAAAATTTATGAAACAATTTTAAAAAATTAAATTAATCTACATTTTAAATGTAATAAACTGTTTGCATAAACCAGTACGGATTCCGAAAAAATAAAACAACAACTTTAGCTATTGATCATTTCACTAGCAATACTTTGGAAGGGTTTTAAAAATATCTTGATACTCTTGCATCGTTTTTAGATCTTACTAAGGCTTTCGATTGTATTAACCATAGTATTCTGCTTAGAAAACTTCGTGATTATAATTTGCATAAAGATACTATTAAACTAATTAATTCATATCTATCAAATCGTAATCAATATGTTCACTTCAACCAGTGTAATTCTCAAAGACAATCTCTGTTGTTTGGTGTCCCTCAAGGCTCGGTTTTGGGTCCAGTATTATTTCTTATCTTTATTAATGATCTAGTGTACTCTCAAAATGAAACAGTTTACACTGTTTTATTTGCTAATGACACTACTTTCTATGCAAGCTATTACCCTTCTGAATTTGACACTCTTGATTACTAAACATCTGAAAAAAACTTATTCAATTGGTTTTTAACTTATCGTTTCTCTTTGAACAACTCTTAATCACAAAATGTTAATTTTACTCTAAGAAATAACACTTGTGTTGAAAACGTTGCTCTACCACAATGTGTAACCGAAGCGAAGTTTCTGGGGATATATTTGAATGCAGGATTTACCTGGGAACAACATACAGTTATTCTATCGAAAAAGCTTTCCCAAAAAATTTTTCTCTTTCGAAACCTTGTACAAGTGACTTCTAGGCAAACTATTTTAACAGCTTATCATAGTAATTTTCCTTCTCATCTGACATATGCTATTGTCTCCTGAGGTCACTCTTGTCATATTGATTAAGTGTTTGCGCAACAAAGAAAGTGTGTTCGTATTATCTCTGGGCTCTGTCATAGAGCAGACTGTAGAAACTTCTTTAGAGCTTTAAAAGTTTTAACTTTACCTGGTATATACATTATGCACTGTCTGTTGCACATTAAACAAAATCTCAGCCAATACAAAGCTCATGTAGATTTTCACAATTATGCCACCAGATTTAATAATAATCTTATACCAGAATTTGGCCGACTTGAGAGATCCAGAAATGGTTCAAGGCATTTAGCCATAAAATTCTACAACTTAGTGCCGGCTACAATAAAAGCTTCTTATTTTCATTAGTTTAAGGCAAAAATTAAGAGTTACCTTATATTGAATGCCTTTTTTACATATAAGGAGTATTTTACTTCCGATTTTAATTAATTGTAACTGTTAAATAAGTTAGAACACTTTATCTATGTGTTATGTTTTATAATTATATTTATGTGTAGGTATATTTATTAACTACATTGACATATAACTTATTTTCTTTGATTTGTAAAAAATACTTTTGTATTCATTTGTTACCAAAAATCATCTATCTATCTATCTAAGTAATGACGAAGAAAAATTGTAAATAAATTAGAACAATAATATGGACAAATTGGGATCTTAATAATTTTAATTTGTGTTTATACTTAAATCTATTTTTTAATTTTTGGAAAATGCAAGGAAACCTAATGTGCCATCTTCTTTCAGGACTGCTAGTTGTCTTTATTTTTTTCGTTATTAAATATTTACATTATTTAACTGGAATTATGAATCATTTGTCTTTGTATTTGTACAGACTTTTTTGTACAAAATGTTTAGTGCCAATTTATTAAACGATTTTCTATTTAGTAACGTGTAGTGACAGCCTATTTTTAGTCAAAATATATTGTTAATGTTTTATGACAACTTACACAACCGTTTATTATAAACCAGAAACTGCCCAAGATGTGATATGCATGCCGGATTATTTTCTATTGAATAGTCAGTTTTCTCGGAACGTTGTATCGTTTGTATATTTGCGAAGTTTTCCTGATGTGAGTCCGAACCTGTTATCTTCTTACTTATGATAGAAAGATACTTCAAGGCCGCAAAACCGCAACAACTGTAATTTTCATATGAAATGTAATCAAGTTCAAAGAAATGTATTAAATTACAAGGTGGTGAGCATTTTTTCGACATCTGAGAGTATCTGCTAAAGGCTGACCGTCGTCAATTTATAGCCTGTAAGTATGTGTATAATTGTTGAATATTACCGATTTTTTTCGCGTGCAGCGCTACGCAATTAAGGGTAATAATAAGATGCACGTTGCTTGTAAACGACCTACATTTATAACAAAGCGAGTCATTAAGAAGGAATTTTATATTATAGAGACAAAGATTATTTTTTAGTCTGGCAAAATATGTATATATGGCTTTATGTTTAGGACATAATTTGTACATTATTTTGCAGATCTTTCTTCGTATGTAAACGACCACATATGTTGTGTACAGTAGGGTGGAGCGAAAAAATCGATGTATTTTTTTGACATGTAATACCTGCGAAAAGTTGACCCCACCTATAGTATACTTGCTCCTAAAATTTCAGTAGAAAATAAAAATATCTTCAGGGCTCTACCGCGCACCAAAAAAAAAAATCAAGAAAAATCGATTTTATTTATTTTTTACTTTTAATAAATAAAAGAAGCTGCTTTTATCGATGTTAATTATTTTCTAATATTTTAGTTAAAAATAATGTTATTAGAGCTCTATCTGTCACCTAAGTAAAACTATGAGCAATATTTTTGGAAATAAAACAGATCAAAAATCTCATCAAATAATGTTCAATGTTCGCCTTACAGTTAACTTTTATTAAATAAAGCTATGCCATTGGTAAACGCTTCCCGTGAAATGTTCTTTTCCTGTAAAACTTTTTTTGACCTGTTCGTGCTAGATCGCTTAGTCGAAGTAAGAAGAAGTTAGTTCAGTCTTCAGTCCCACTGTGATAGAGTAGAGCCGTAGAGACAAGATCGTTATTGTAATAATTAATCGGTACGTAATAAGTTTGCCAGTGACAGACACTAGGGCACTACTAATTGTCCTATATTTGGTGCACCTGCGAATATACCTTCTAATGTTTTGCCAACTATAGAAGATGTTATGAAGCGATATCTACTTATTAGAAATGAACTAAAAGGTATGGATTCCGGCAAGGATCCTAGTGTTCTAGTTATTTCTCAATTACTTACCAATGAAATCGAAGCCATATGGGAAAATGCCTCAGTTCCCACTGTATCAAGCAATCGTATTATTCGATTAATTCGTGATATCCTGAGTAAGTATCAAACTCTCATCAGATATCCAAAGCAAAAACGTAATGAGACTTATAATTTAAGAGTAAAAAGTTCAAAGACGATTTAAGAAAAGGTTGGAGATAAACTTCATCGCAAGATAAAAACCGAAGAACACATTTCGTTACTTGAAGAACCAGGTTTTAAATATCTTAATCACATAACTCCAACGTCAGTTACAGGAAGACATATTGCCACATCTATATTAAATTTTTTTGAAGAATCCGGTATTGGCACAGGTAATCTTTTAGTAGTAGGCTGCGACGGTACAGCAGTCAACACTGGGAGGAAGAATGGAGTTTTACTGTTTTTAAAGATAGAACTGAAACGTTCTCTGCAGTGGTCAATTTGTCTGTTACACATGAATGAATTGCCCCTCCGGCATATCTTTCAATATATCGATGGAAAAACTTCGGGACCTCGTAAATACTCTGGCAATATAGGCAAACTATTGGAGTCTTGCGAAAATTTGCCAGTAATCCATTTTGTTCCTATTCATACCACTCTACCACAATTAGATGCTGCAGTTATAAGGGACCTTAGCAGTGATCAAAAGTACTTATACGAAATTTATCAATTGGTTTCTAATGGAAAGTGCTCGATAGATTTAGCAACTCGTAATCTGTGTAAATTATCACATGCACGATGGGTTACAAAGGCAAATCGTATATTGCGTGTTTACGTCAGAAGTGAAAATCCTTCTTTGGTTTTAAGATCTTTGGCTCAATTTGTGGTAAAAGTTTATGAGCCAGTGTGGTTTAATATTAAAGCAAAGATATCGTGTAGTGAAGAAGCAAGACACGTCTTTAAAATGATTCAATTGTCACGCTACCTGAGCAACGACTTGAAAGCCGTCATTGAACCTGTTATCAAAAGAATTTCATATTTTTGTCATTCGGAGAACCTTCTTCTAGCAGTGCTTTCTGATGATCGTCCTGCCATAAGACAACTTGCCTTACGCAAAATGTTGAAGACGCACACAAAAATACCTACTTTGAACACGAATGAAAGAGAATTTCTAAATTCTGATTTAAATTTCAATGCTAGTGAATATTATAAACTTATTAATTCTCAAAATTGCTCTGTTACAATGCCTCCCCTTTTATGTGCTACAACTGATGAGGATATTAGAAAATGTATTAATGTTGAAGAAATTTTTCCAACAAATTTTTTGTCATTTCCTTGTCATACTCAAGCAGTAAAAAGATGTGAGAAGGTTGTAACAGAAGCTTCCACTTCTGTCCTCGGCTATGACTCCAGAGATGGATTTGTTCGGGCAAGGATTCATTCAAGAACCATATTACCTCGATTTAACACTAAGGCGCAATACATTGCATAATTTTTTTAGAAATTTAAAAACAAGTAGCAGTTTAATTTCCATTTAATAGTCTAGGATATAATATTTAGTTGAACTTTTTTTTTAAAAAGAAACTGTTTATTTAGTAAATGGTTTGTTTACTGTATTAGAGATTTTTACTGTTTTTTATATTAAAAGTTTTTATAAAATAAGGGATTTGTATTTTGTTGTCTATTTAGATGTAGAAGACTTTTTGAAATTATAAAAGTTGGTAAAAAGCCTAATAGTCATTAACATATTTAGCTTCTGCGCTATTACTTTAGAAAAAAATTTATTATTATTTTTTACTCTGTAGAACCCTGAAGATGAAATAGTAGAAAAAAATTTAAAAAAACATGGTACTTCTCTATGCAATAAGCAACTTTTCCGAGCTATTACATTTCGAATAAGAAATTTTAAAAAAATTCTTCATGTTTCACTCCATCCTAGTGTACATTCCACAGCTAAAAATAAATATTACAAATATTAGAGAGTTATACTGTTCTACCTAATTAAATAACTGTAACAAAAAACAAGTAGTCATGAAGAGCAGATTTAAACTAGATTCTTTAAAGAAGAGAAAAAATACTAAAATAATCTAACACACTTTTAAAGATGGAAGATAAAAGGGAAAAGAAATACAAACAGGATATACCTAATCAACTCATAATAAATGGGGAAGAGAATAAATGGCATCAAATAAACAAAAGAATGTAGTAATGACTGTTCCTAAAATCTAATAAAACAACAAACGAAGGGCAGTCAAGAAAATGACGACAAGGTAAAAAGAGAAACATGGAATAAAAGCAGAACTTAAAATATACATAACAATCTGAAAAATGGATAGAAGGAGGGTGAGTTTACACTTACCTGTAATGGTTTAAGATCAGGTTAAAACGGGGTTAAGACCAGGTAGCCCACTATTAACAATTTTGTTTAATTAAGATATGTTTAACTGTCAAATAGTAATATCGCAGTAACAAGAAACAGTAATTAAAAAAAAAAAAACAAGCACGTTCTTGTGCGTGCTATGAGCACGCACAAGAACAGTGCGTGCTCATAGTCCTTTTAGCAAAGCCGCACACGAAAGCGGTTATGAGAAATAAAAACTAAGGAAACGTAAGACTTGCAAATGGCAACAAAAAATATTAAAGTCTGATAAGTCTGTTACGGTCCAAATTTTTATCCAGGAAAATAAAACTAAGAATGTACTGAGCAACCGTTTAACTAAGTTAAAAAGAAGAACATTAAAAGATGGAAACGCAAAAGACTAAGAAGCATGTTGAGAGAGATAAATAGTAAGAAAAGGTAGAGAAGAAGAACCAAGTCAATGCACTGCATATGTCAAGGTACAAAGAATGGGTGACTGAGGCATACACAAAGAATTTCACTAAAAAAATGCCAAGGATGGTCTAACTTAGGAAGCTTATATGAAGTAAAGAAGAAGAAGACTTAGGACAAGACCGATTAAAAGGTTTGAGACTGACTAAACCCTAGAATATCGGACTTTTTCAGTAAATTTTACTACCAATAAAAAGTACCTTAATATTGTTCTGAAGCTATTTTCTTGTGGCATTGTAAATTAATTACTGTTAAACTGGGAACAAGCCACAATTAAAGATAAAAATACGTTTATTAACGTTTCAATTTCCACTTCGGAAATCGATCTCAAAATACAAACAGTAAATTAAACTTTTTGTTACATAGTGAAAAATTCTTCTAATAATTTAATTTTATCTAACTCATTTATATTGACAATTCAGACATACATTATGCATTTTAAAGTAGACGACTTTAAAATGATATTTTGAGATATGATAACTTGAGAATATCCGTCAGAAAAAATCATCGCATATAATTCGTCTTTAAAAAGACAAACACATGACATGATGACAGTAAAATTCTCCTGTTAGTGAGTCCATAGTAAATTATGAGGGAAAAACCAGGAAAAAAATTTCATAATACTATCCCGACATTGTAAATATTTGTTCGTGAATTTAGTTTACCTTCAACAAACATCAAAATTCTGATTTTATATGTTACGTTATTTAAAAAACATAAATGATGTATCCTCTATATGTTACTGACTTACTAATAATGGTATTTTCTTATTAATAACTTCCTCTTTCAATATTGGTAACCAGATCCTACTACATTCTGCCGAGGAATTTGCGACACAATTGACCTCATTAAGCATGATTAGAGCCGTTTCTTTGATTTTTCTTTTTTTACCATCCGTTTCTTTTAGGACTACATTTGAATTATTCCATTGAACCCTATGTTCATTATCCCATGCGTGTTTACAGATTTGAGATCTATCAAATTCTCTATTTTTAATATAAGATTGATGTTTACTTATTCTAACATTTAATGACCTTGATGATTCACCTAAATTAACTGATCGCATTCACAAGGTATTTTATAAATAATTATATATCCCTCATAATTTACTATGGAATTACTAACAGGAGAATTTTACTTTCATCATGTCATGTGTTTGTCTTTTTAAAGACGAATTACATGCTATGATTTTTTCTGACGGATATTCTCAAGTTAAAGTTGATTTCATGTAATCGAATCAACTATCTTATAAGTAAAGTCGTCCCAGGAGCGCAACTCAACAATATTGGCAATATCATTTTAAAGTCGTCTACTTTAAAATGCATAATGTATGTCTGAATTGTCAATATAAATTAGTCAGATAAAATTAAATTATTAGAAAAATCTTTCACTATGTAACAAAAAACTAAATTTGTTTAATTTACTGTTTGTATTTTGAGAACGATTTCCGAAGTGGAAATTGAAACGTCAATAAACGTATTTTTATCTTTAATTGTGGCTTATTCCCAGTTTAACAGTAATTAAAAAGTACCTTGTTAGTACAAATCACTTATGACCCTTTTTGCTTTAAATTTTTTTTGTTGGGATCGCTAGATAATTTGATTTTTAGATATCGACGTAGAAACTTTTTCAATATCATTCGAAATGGCATCTTTCTCTTTCTGTTCATCAGAAGATGGATATAGACGTAATCAAATCTTCACCAGCTTCAGAATTATCCGAGTGTGATGATTCTATCTCCAGATTATTTTGTTACCAGTCACTGCCACTGGCATTGAAGGGATCTAGTCAAAATCAGACTACCGCAGCCTCTTTTTCCAGCTTTTTTTTCGGGCGGTGGGCGTTTGTAATCCATTTTACTTAAACCAAATTGTATATGTAATACAAGAATACAAAATAAAATAATGAGCTAACAACTTACCTCTATAAAATTTATTCTAAGACGATAAAGAAAGTAAAAAAATAATGTACACCTACTAATAAAACGTTTATAGATACTGGAGCTTCATAAAATTTACGACAAAGGTGTAAAAACTATATTGTAGAAATTTTAAACGGTACAACCGGTACAAGAACATGGCATTTCTTCTTTTTTGGGAAATTAACATGTTAAATTTTTTGGCGGTTATATTAAATTGGTGCAGCATACGTTGTACATCGTCTTCACTTTAAGAGAGTAATATTGCGTCGTCTGCATAGCAGATTAATTTAAGATATTTTTCTCCCATTTTGTACCCCTTTAGTTCTTACTTTGTTTATTATTTCATGCGTAATCAGTTTGAACGATAAAGGACTTAGAGAATCTTCCTGTCTTATCTCATTGCCAGCTTCAATAGGGTGGTTAGTTCTTTTTCCACTTTTACTTATATTGTATTGATTTGGTAGAAATTTTCGATCGTTTTTATTATTCCTAGGGGCTTCTCTTGCGTACAATAAGTGGATAACGTGCTTTAATTAACACGGTCAAATGTCTTCATAAAGTACGCGAATTATAGATATGCCGATTCTTTGTATTCAAATGATTTTTGTAGCATTTGCCTCATTATAAATGTAGCGTCGGTGCATGATCTTCCCGACCCAAAAACCTTGTTGTTCTTCTGCTAGTGTTATAATTTCATTTAGTTTATTTTTTATCACTTTGGTCGTTAATTTTTGTGTTGTGTTTAATAAATTAATTCCTGTAATTTTTCGAGTCCAATTTGATTCTCTTTTTGAAGAGAGATATTAAGATGCTGGATCTCCATTCTTGAGGAATTCTTTTTTGTTCTATTATTTTTGGATTAGCTTTAATAGTTGTTTGGTCGAATCTGGTCCTTCATACTTTAGAAATTCTTTCGGTTTTCTGTCCTCTATTGGTAATTTTCTATTTTTAATTTCCGTAATGCTTCATTTACCTCCTCTCAATATTTTTTTCTTCGTTTGTCGTCGCCTCTGATGTTGGTAGTCCATTACCGTCACCTTTGGCAAATAGGGATCGAAAGTAGCTCTGCCAGTATTCCCTTTTAATTTGTCTAACCAAAGTATTCGTTTCATTTAAAATTCATTTATAGTGGTTATATGCCTGTTGTATTTTTTTGTGTTGGGTGTTGTAAAACGGCTTTTTCCTTTTCTTTACATTTTGTCTTCACTTCCTCTCTAAACCATGATGTTTTCTTTTTTGATATGTTAGTTTTAGTTACTTTCCTCTTCCCAATTGATTCTTTTGCTGCGTTAATTATGTTACTGTAGTGGAGGATGTAGTGGGTATGCCTTGTGGGTAGAAAGCATACCTTATAAAATGCTACAATATCCCAAGGGAAGTATTGTTACATGGCGAGTATTGTGGCGTATAGGAATGGATTCTGGACCGGCTCATCATTGGATACTAGGAGGCATGACTGAAGCAGTTTTAATGGCTCCTACACTGCCATGAGGAAAGCAAGGACAAACTACGTCTTTAAACATCACTAGTCCATTATCATGGCGAGTAGCAGTATTAATACATCACAGTTTATTG